TGCGGCAGTCTTGCTGGAGTTTGAGCTGACCACTGCCAGGGGAGCACCAGGACTTGTCCCTAAGGTTTGTTTGCAGTAGGAGGGCACTGTTTTGGATAGTGATTTATTATAGACTTGGTAAAAGCACAGATCCTGGCTCAAGTGTAGACCTGCTCTCAGGGTGTGTGCAGCCATCTGCAGAGGCACAGCCGAGTTGGGGACGGTGCTGAGCATCCCATAGCTCCTCCAGCGAGCTGTGAGTTACCATCAGTGCCACCACACCATGTCATAGCTGAAGGATTTCCATATTTACTGGCATTTACACTCTGCGTTTCTCTGCTGTGTAAACAACACAGCATTTGACTGCAGGCACAGAAAGCACAGCTGGTGCCTTTCTGGGGCAGTAGTTTCCATATCCTATGCTGCTGTGAGAAGAAGAGAAACTGGAGAGTGTGTTTTCAGGAAGGGAAAATCTACAGTGAGTTATGGGGAAGTTTTATGACATGTGAGCAAGAAAGCGACATGGTAGCCCTGCACAAATCCCCACCAAACACAGGTGGGGACAAAGGACTCAACAATCTGTCTTGCCTTCAGTTATTAAGTGATATCTCTTGCTGTATTATGTCTCTTTTAAGAGACTCAGGATCCGACGTGGGATGTTTCTCTTGGCTTCCTGTGCTGAGATTTGATAGTGCAGCTGAAGACTTGGAGCGCTTTGGTTACCAACTGGCAGTAATTGCCAAAGGTGAGAGCAGCGAGCTGTGAAATTTCATAACACCACTGTCACAGCAAATAACCCCTCAGGTTTTATAGCTGCTTTCTCTCCTCAGATCTCTTACACAAACATAGCATAGTATAGTCAAGGATCTTGTACAGATGTCTCTGCTTTGGAACAAAGTCACCCTTGAGCAACCCACAGAAACTTTACTGCTGTAAATATTTGATCCAGGAGAACAGGTAGGCATTGCTGCTTCCCTGTGCCCTTTCAAAGCCCTTAGGCTGTGTGGTCTGTTAGTATGTTTTTGGCACTCAGAGATGGAATTTAAACTTTAACATTTGACAGCGTAGAATACCTTGGTGCAAAGCTGAAAAGGCACAGAGGTTACAGCTCAGAGCTGTGAGGGCCAGACTGGCAGGAAGAAAAGCCCATCTGTCTGCACACAAGGTCCTGGCTGCTGCTGTGACCCAGGTGCCACCCACTACTTCCGCATCCCTTGGAATCATGAACCTGTTAAACTTGGTGCCTGTGGTTTGGGTTGTCAAGCCAGAGACTTTCTTTTTGAGTTTAAAGAGCTGTTTTGAAAAATAACCCTTCAGCAAAAAGACATTTCTTCTGTATTTGCTATTTAAAGCTGGACTCCATTTTATTTTTTCAGGTAATGTGTCATGTCTACCTTTTAATTTTTCTGTTTAAGTAAAGTGCTACATTTTAACCTCCTGGAATGGCGTTTGATTAAAATCGGACCAGCAATCTGTCTCTGCTGACAACTGAGGGACTTCTTATCAGCTTTGTCCTTCATGGAGAGAAAAGAGACAGCAGTGACAGAGGACAGAGAAGGCCAGAAGTGCTGTGGGAGAGGGCAGTGCCTTTGCCAGAAATGGTTGGTGGAAATGAAGCCATTTTATCTGTGAGCGAATAAAAATAATCACTCTGGTATTTCTTATTCCTCGAGTGCTGTCTTGGGCAGGATATTCTCTTACAACACTTCTAAGGGTTTCGGGCTGCTCTGCAGTGACGATCAAGAAATTATCTTTGGATTGAGGTGACTGTCACTTCACAGCATCAGTTTAATGTGGCCTGGGAAAATCTTTCCCAGGTAGCCTCTGCTAACAACTTCTTTTTCTCTGATAATGACGAAGATTGAGCAATGAGAAAAATCACAGCCCCAGATGTGAAATGTGGTGGGAATCAAGCAACAGCTTTTTTTATTCAGTCCCAGCTTCAAATTGGCAGATGTTCACTACAGAAAGTGAGGAGCCTCTTGAAATCACAGATTTAGGTAGTAGTAGTAGTCTTTATTTACGTTACAGTGATTCTTCTTGCCTCAATCAGGAATCACAGATACTGGATGAGAGCTAAATGACTCCCTGTACTTCCAAGAACTTACACTCTGAGATGTGGAGGGCAGCAATTTCCAGGGGAAGGCTAAACAGGCTTTCTGAATGTCTGCAACATCTTTTGCTCTGTGTTACTCAACAGTGTGTGTCTGCCAGGCTGAAATCAGAGGGTACACCAAGTCATCATCACTGCTCACCACACTCTGCTCTAAAAAGACAAAGCTGGCAAAGGAGGGCAGGAATGTCTCTTTTTTTACTTTACACTTATAAAGAGAAGAGTGAAGTCAGAGAACTTTTCTTCACAGTCCAGTTCTTTACAGAGAGCCTGAGACACTCAAAAACTGAACTTAGTTTATTTTTATATCCCCCTCCCTCCTCTGTGGTGCAGCAGAGCATGCACAAATGGGTAATTTAGATCACTTAAAGAGTCATCATACCAAAGGCATTAGCAGAAGTGGGTTTAGTATGGTGTTGTAGAAGTGCAGCTCTACAAAGTTTGATGGCAAGGTTCACTGTATTCCTTACTACAAGGATGAAACATCCAGAGGAAAATGGACTTAAAATTGAGCTGGAATGATTTACACAGCGACCAAAGACACAGAAGGGTAAGGAAGACCTTTCCGTGGAGTTGGGAGGTTCAGGGTGGACCCCCTTGCTCTTTAAACTCCTGATGGAGCTTAGATGTGGCTGTGTCCAGTCTTAGTCTCATACTTGGGCAAAGGTTTATGTCTAATAGAATTGGCTACTTGAATTTCCTTAGTATTAATTCAGCAACTGCCAGTCACTCACCGAGAGTGTGTGATGAATAAGGGGGTCTCTCAGCCTTGGGGAAGGAAGGATCTCTTAGTCTCAGGTAAGGAATCTCAAGCCGTGAGAGGTGTCCCAGCTCAATTAGAGATCACCTCAAGGGAGGGCTCAGAGAAGCCTCACTTAAGCTCATTTCAGGAGTAAAGTGTTTGGCTCCCAGTCAGATTGCATACAATGGGAAAGGTAGGCATGAGACTCCGTGTACCCAGAACCTTCTTTGTTCCTTGAAAAATGAGTCTTGGGAAAGCCACCCGCTATTTACGTATTAATTGCACGATGGCTGTTCCAGGCTGATATGCATCAATGCTCTGACATATGCTCATATGTCACTGTTCTGCTTTGTGGGTTTCCTGGAGGAGTTCTTGGCCCAGCTCCTGCTCAGGCCTTTACCTCCTTTGGAGCCTGTACCAACCTGTTGCTGGTTTGGTTAAGGGTTAGAACGCGTCTGTCACAGAGCAGGAGAGACAGTGTGGTATCTGTAGGTGAAAGGAAATGGGCTTTCAGAGTGCTCAGTCCACCTTAGATGTGGCTTCATTTAGGGTGTCAGCAGTGGTGAAGCAGCACAATCCAGCACTGCAGGAAATGGGGGTGTTAAGTTTTCCAGAATGACTCAACGCTTCTGTTGTCACCAACTCAGCAGTGACAGAAAGTGGAGCTTGATGGGGGTTGAGTGGGATGGAAATAAATTGGATGAAGAATGTGTCAGTGTCTCAGTTAATTGGTGCTTGCAAGGAAGGTGGTGTGGCCACTGCTGTCATCAGGTGGGACATTTTTATCTCTACAGAGCAGACCAAGGCCACCACATAGAGCAGGTGAGTTTGAGGTCCCTTAAGAGAAAGGGTTACCTGTTGGCCACCAGATAACCCCTTATGGTCTCTGAAAGTTGAATTTTTTCTCAATTCCTCAAAGCCACTGAGTGGCCTTGAGACCATCTTCCAGGATGTTCTTCCTACCTGTTTGATAGGCAGCTGTCACAGGAGATTGTGGGGTATTTTGTACCATGGAAGAACTCCAGAGCAGGAGCACAGGAGGGAGTGGGTTTTTTCCCCCAAATTAAAGTTGGAGGCCAGGTCTTAGGCACACAGAGGTGACTTGATCAGAATCTCTAGACCTCTCACTCTTGTATTTGCAATATAGAGCAGTAGTCTTTAACTCACCAGATTCCAGAGTGCCCTTAGAAACACCAGTTGAAGGCTGAAAATGCACATAGTGGCCACGTTCTGTGTGTTTCTACCCTCTGATAAAAATATCCTTTAGACTTGAGTAGGTTTTGCTGGCAAAACTATGTATAGCCTATACCTCCTGAATTACTGCTCGTGGTAAACACTGAGCCAGGTCGGGAGAGTGGGGGTTCATTTGCATTGCAAACTTGGCATGGTATCTAGGAAGGCTGAGGCAGTGTTATTACAGCCTTCTCTTTGAAGCCAAGTAATGACAATGGCATTATTTGCGTCTGAGTTGATATTAACAGTGCCCTGGTGGTGGCATTATCCTTGGCTCTCTAGGGACTCAACACGAGGGGCAATCAACAGCCTGAAGTGCTCAGAAACTGAGCCTTTTTTTTCCCCACTGGATTAACAGCAGCAAATGCACAAACTCATTATTAAGATGGTGCATTCATTTCTTTGGAGTCATGATGGAATCTTGATAGAGTTAAAAATCCCATTAATATTTACATCACTTAGTGTTACTGAAGTAAGCACATTTATTTTAACTCGAGCTGCAAATTGTTTAGTTCTTTGTAATTACAGTACTGCTATTAATTATTCATAAGGTTGTACAATATAGTGTCACAGGAAACCTGTTTTAATTTAGTGGTAAGTCAGTGTTTTAGTTTTGTGTAAAAACAGAAACTAATTTACCAGCCCTACTTGCTTGTGTTTTCCCAGATGGGCTTTGCAAACCTTCTTCAGCTGCTTCTATTTAAACTAGTTATTGTAGTTTTGGAAGTTTAGAAGTTACTGGGGAGGTCTTAGGTGCAGTTTACGTGGGTGCAGGTGATTTTGAATGGTCACAACAACCCTCTGCAGTGCCCAGGCTTCTCCGGGGAAGAGAGGTTGGAAAACTGCCTGGTGGGAAAAGGTGCTGGTTGACAAATGGGGTCTGTGAGAGATCCTGTAGCTTATACCTCTCCTTTCTAACTCTCTCCTCTGCAGGATGAGGTTTCTTCTGTGGACATTGAACTCCCAGCTACCTATGCCTACTGCCTGTGATGGAAGAACTGGATGTTAATGTGAGGTAGGATAAATGATGTGGCTCCTTTTGTACCACGTCTTGGACAGCTGCTGAGCTGCAGAGAGGCAGAGGCCCCATGGTGTGTTTGTAGAGCTGCAGGATGGTATTTTCTGTTTGCTTGGAGATGAAGGTCTCTTCTCATGCAGCAGTGCCTGGTTTGGGGATTCTTGGAGCTGCTGTGAGGATGTGGTGTCACCCTGGGATGTGTTTAAGTGTCAGATGGGACACGGACAAGTCAAGGATTTCCTTGCTGTAGGAAACGTTATGAATTTTGCAAAGGCTGCAGTGTGAGGTTAGAGAGACATTTCTGGAAATTTTTGACAGTTCAGTTTTGGACTTGTATTTGTCACAGCCAAGGGGGGGTGGCAGACCTAATTTTTTCTAATTCTAGAGCAGAAAAATAAATGACCCGCAAGTATTTCCTCTTCATATTTTATTGAATTTTTTAATTTCATGTGACTTGGTGATTGTTATTGGGCACATTTATTATAGGCAGTAGGTTAATGAGATACTGTCAAGTGGTTTGAAATGAAAACTCGAAACCTTAAATTGGTTAGAGCAATCTGGAGAGGCCAAACTCTGCTTGTCTTGGGCGCTTGCCAGCGTAGGTTGCAATCGTACCGTGCACAGGGTGTAAACAATGGCCTTGTGAAAGACTGGTAAAGCCTTCTTAGACCTTTGGTAAGACTTTCATTGTATCCCTACAGAGTATTCCCTGTAGGAATGGAGTAGAGTTCCCCCATCAGCTTGAGAGCCCCTCCTTATCTTATAGGAGCAAAACCTGACTCCCTTACACTGTTGGAGCACAGGGGACTCTTATCTACACCAGTTCTGAATGGCATTGTTGGCCATTCTTGTGCATTTTGCCATTACTTTCTTGCCTTTCCTTCCCATTTACTGCAGGGCAGCATGTTGGGAAGTTGCAGTTAAGTGATGAGTCTGACTGTTGCTCAGAAGCTCTGGGCTGGTTTTCATGGCCTGGCTGGGGTTTCCATTGGACAGGTACCTTACTTAAGAACTAGGCTTTGAGAAGTAGGTAGTTTTCCAGTTCTCTCACTAAACTCTTGTAGGTCATCGTGCAAATTCACAAGGCTGATGGGTGCTCCCCACTCTGACACCTGCGGTCCCATAAACACTCCAGCAGTGGCTGCTCTTCAGGTCCACAGCTGGGAGGGGAGAAGTGGAAGAGCAGCTGCCTGGCATTTACAGCCAGGACTAGGTGGGCACGGCTGTGGTTCTGCAGCTGGAGCTCTTCTCATGCTCTTGGGCAACAAGGGGAAACCTCTGCTACGTGAGTTGGTGCTTCTGAGTGTGGTCAGAGCTGTCCTGAGTACTTCACGCTGTATGAAGGGTTCTTGCTTCCACAGATGTTTGGGAGAGGTTATGCTCTTGAGAAACAAGCTTTTGAAAAAAAATCATAAGCATGTTCAGTGCAGGTAAATAGCTTTTATGAAACCCTTTTTTATTGTAGCTGCTGGTGAGGGTAGAATCCCTTTGCTGTATCAACTGTGGAGAAACAATGTATTATTTGATTTTGTCACAGCAGGAATTGCTTTTTACTTTTAAGCTGAGCCCCTAAACCAGCTGAATTTTAGATTGATGTTAATTGCTTCCAAACTTGGCTTTATCAGCTTTAGTTTTCTCAGTTTGTTGCTGGAGGTATTTTTGTGGCTTGGAAAACTCTGAAAAGTGCAGAGCCTTCCAGCAGTACTGTGTGGGGCTCATTAATCTTACCTTGACTTTGAGAAATGAGAAGCAAGGTGAGGGAACAAGGAATCAAATTGGTTGAATTAGTTGTGTTTGTTTTGAAGAAAAGAAAAGATCCCGTTTTTTACCCAGCCATTGTTCTCAGAGCCCTTGTACAGAGGCACAGTGAACATTAGTTCTGACCTTCTTGATCATATGCTCTCCCGAGTCAAATTGCATGTTTGAGTCAGTGCCAGATCTGGAACCTTGCTGTGTTGGTCCAAGAGGCTCCTTTTCCCTGTGGATTGCAAGAAGTGGAGCTGTTGGTGGCTGTCTCTAAGATGGATTTATTACCTGTAGGTGGTACAGTGGCAGGAGGGCTGATGGCAGAAAGGGGCAGAGAAGGTCTTAGGTCTCCTCTCTCTATCCAAAGCTGGGGAGAAACAGGAACAACAGTCATAGTGGGAGAGAGAGGGAAGCAAAGACTCATCCCTGGAGCCCCACGGACATTCTAGGAGAGGAGTCTGTGTGTGCCCTCAGTCTCCCCTTGCTTGGGATGCTGACAGCCAGTCATGAGCCCAGCACTGGTCTGGGAAGCAGGACAGGCAGAAAACTGGGCTAAAAGAAGATGTGACTGTTTGGACAAGGAAGAAGCTGTGCTGAGTGGTCGCAACAAAATAATTACCATATTTAATTACCCAAAGCATGGAAAAGGGAAGGGGATTAGGAAAAAACTTTGTGTGCTCTGAGTGCCCTGTCAGTGAGGATTCATGGAAAGCAAACAGCTTAAGATTCCCCCAGCAGTTTGCAATAGAAGTGTTTATTCTTAGATGTACACAAGCTCTTTTCAAAACCTCTCCAGCTTCTACACTTTGAATCGTTAAATCATTGTTTATCTCAAGTTCTTTAATCACATTTCTGTTTAGGTGAGAAATAGCAGGCTATCAAATGTCATTTAGCAGGCAAGAATAAGCCCAGAGCTCTCTTTCTAGTCCCCTTTCCAAGGGAAGATCAACTCTAATCCTCCTGTAATACCCGCAGCATCCATCCAGAAAGGGATTTGCTCTTGCGTTTCTGCCAAGACAAATGTGCTGATTGAGAAGATTTTTGAGCCCTGTCTCCTCCACCTGGTCCCCCCAGCAGGGACAGTGCAGTGATCAGAGGAGCACGTAGGTGAGAGCTGAGTGCTTTCATCCCTTGGTGTACAAGTGATACAAAATCCTGATTCACTTACTGAGCTGATGAGGTTCAGTGCACCTGCTCCTGAGGATAATGGCAGGCAGTGTCAGAAAAGAGCAAAGTAAAATGCTACAGATCCCTTATGAGGCAAGTTTTAATAGTTCTGATTTACATCAGCCGTAGATATGACCATGTATAAGCTGAATGAAATAGGGCCCGGTCCTCACAGCAAGGAGGACATTGAGGGGCTGGAGAGTGTCCAGGGAGGGGAAAGGAGCTGTGAAGAGTCTGGAGAGCCATTCCTATCAGGAGCAGCTGGGGGAGCTGGGGAGGCTCAGCCTGGAGAAAAGGAGGTTCAGGGGGGACCTTCTCACTCCCTGACAGAAGGGTGGAGCCAGGCAGGGGTTGAGCTCTGCTCCCAGGGAACAAGAGACAGGACAAGTGGAAATGGCCTCAAGCTGTGCCAGGGGAGGTTCAGGTTGGACATCAGGAGGAATTTCTTCCTTGAAAGGGTTTTCAGGCATTGGAAGGGGCTGCCCAGGGAGGTGGTGGAGTCACCATCCCTGGAGGTGTTTAAGTGATAACTGGATGTGGCACTCAGTGCTCTGGTCTGGTTGACAAGGTGAACATCAGTCACAGGTTGGACCTGATGATCTTGGAGGTCTTTTCCAAGCTGGTATCACAGGTCTTTTCCAACCTGTGATACGTTATAAGGAACCGGCTGGGTTTGCCAGGTTTATCCTCTCTGTGCCTGGGGGTGCTGGGATGGTCAGGTACAGCAGGGACACTTTGGAAGGAATCCACAAGCTGGGAGCACTAAAACACACGGGGCATTTCTGAATCTGGAGCCGCAGACTTTACAGAGCATTGCCCACCTGCCAACTCTGGGTGCAAGGAGAGGGGCAGAGCAGGGGGACACAAGGAAGCAAGGCACAGTAAAGAGCCTCACTTTCACATTTTTGGGCTACCAGCCAAAAATCCTCAGCGGCCAGAAAATCCTGGGAAAAGAAGTTCTCTTTGCTATAGCCCAGGCCCTGCTCCGCCAGAGCAGAAACTGTTATCAACCTGGGTTCATATTGTTCAACTTTTTCTCAGTTTCTAGGGAAACACTTTAAAGCACTATATTTATCGGAACGTCTTTCCAAACACCTCCGCCAACACTTAATTAATGGAATTTTTAAGCCTGGCTCCAGCTCCTGCAAATTAATAGTTTGCTTCCTTACGGCAACTGTGGAGCAAGTGAGACACGGATACTCTCGTAAATAAGTTGGAGGGTGCAGAGGCAGAGGGGCAGCTCCTATTTGTCTCAGCGTGTGCTCAGCCCCCTGGGGAGGTGAGGCCATCACACACTTCTGTGATGTCTCATCTGCTTTTATTACTGTGCCCTGAGGGATCTGTGCAGATGAAAATGTCCTGGATAAAAAACTGGGCCATAAAAATGAACTTTTTGGTGTCTTTCATCGCATCTTTAGCGTCAGTGTCTCTGCACAGAGTGGCAGCTAGTGAAGAACTGGAAAAGGCTGTGGAAGGGTGTGAAAACCATCCAAAAGACTGGGATATCCTGGAGCAGACGTGGCTCTAGTGCTTGGCAAAAAAAAAGGCAGCTGCCCTAGAAAGCAGCAGGTTGCCCAGAGCAGGAAAACAGGCTGGACCTTATTGCCAGCTTTTTCCATGCCAGCTGCCTGAAAGGGCAAAGCTGGCACCTGCCAGTCCAGGACACCCTCCTGGACTTCTGAGGGCATTAAGCAAGTAAAATTCAGTTTGTCTCCATGTTTGGGAACTCTCGAAGCAGCAGTGCTCAGAGATGGTGAGTAAGGAAGCTGGGAAGGGGGTATTAGGGTCTCTTGAGAGACAGGACTGCAGCAAAACTGGAGCTGTTCAGGAGATGCTGGACCAGGTGAGATGTTTGGGGGTTCATAGGGCACCGTGGGTCACATTGACAGAGCTGGGGTTCCTCCAAGAACAGACATGACCTCTAGGTCATTTGACTCCTCTGTGGGGAAGAACTTTTCTCCCTTTGCATTGCTCTCTTCACCAGGAATGACTGTTTCTAGGAATCTTTGTCAAGGGTTTCTACAGATGAACACAGCAAGACATTCCTCCTGGAAGCTCTTGCCACAAGCTAAACACAATGAACA